CCTAAGGCCCCATAAATCAAGCAATGCTGGCTGGAGACACTCACTCGAAGCAGATGTTCTTATCTCCTGATTAGCCTATTCAAGTGCCAAAGAAAGACCTCAGCTTGTGTGGCAAGTATCAACAGCACAATCAATATTGTGCCTTTGCTGGCTGTTTAGGTGAATTCATGCAGTAATCCAAAGGCTAACAGATAGAGTGCTCTTCTGSGGGGGAAGGCAGACGGGAGAAGGAGGGGACACTGATTAATCTGTGGCTGTTAATAACATTCATAAGTCTTGCAAATTAAGATAATTATATGGGTAATCAATTGTCTTTCTTCAGGGTATAAACTGATCAGCCACTAGGATAAAACAGAAATTCTTATAACACACATTTCTTGTCCATTGTAAAGTCAATTGTAAGCATTAGCAAAGCAATCACTTTCTTGCAAAGCTTTCATTATTTCAGAAATGACTTGAAGTGATCAAATGATCAAGGGGTGCAGCTCACTATGGCAAATACCAATATCCTCTCAATCATTTTAGTTTCCTCATTTAATAATTATATTGGTCATTTTTGTTCTCGGATTAAGTTCTAAATTTTACTCTTCTTTCTGTGTGCAGTCATTATTTTTACAGAGTCATTTTAATTTCATGGATCCTATGCTGAAGAGTTCTTATGTAAGTTTGCGCACTGCAGTTTGCACAGCCCCATAAGCAAGGGCAGTGCAATGAACTCACAAGGACACATCAGAGTCTTACAATAAAAGCCACAGCCAATAATAAAACCAGTTGCACCACAAACAGATATTGCAATAATCATAAATAAGACAGGAAATCCAAAATGCAAGATAAAAACATGATGAGTTGAACAAATTAAACTTTCCAGCCCTTTCTAGGTACCAAGTGGTCACTGGGCAACTAGGATAAACCAGGTTTTAAAATTTGCCCTTCCCTTCTCTCCAAAATATAGAATTTTGGTAGGTCTGAGAGCATGCACAGGCTGGAAAACAAGTTTTCAAGCTGTGACTCCCAAAAGTAATGAAGATAAATAAGGAGTTCTTCAAAACAACAGCCCCTAATACATGAACCTTTCTGGTGTTTTGTGAATAACTGAAGGTGCGAGTTGTGTTTAGGTTTTTTACAGATTTCCATTTAAGTGCCTTTTCCTTCTGATCCCTCTTCAGCAAATCCTCTGTCCAGCTCAGCAGCAGCAGAAATTACAGAAGTAAATCCAAATTTTTTTTCTGACAGCTTCTTTTTATTTCTTTTTCAAGCAGAGGGCAGCTAAAAGAGACCAGACTGATGGCAAGAGAGAATGAAGGCCTCTGCTCCACCTCAGGAAGACAGTAACACTGTGCCTGTGACTTTTCTGTGTTAATGCCAGAAAGAGCCTCAATTCCTTCTAGGTGGAACCAGCTCTTGGTATGTCCATCTCTGCCACTCTCACATTTCTTCTCCTGGTTGCTGGGTTCAGCAGGGAGAAGATYATATCCTTCGACTACATCCCAGGAAAGGCACTGCTTTCTATCTATTTTCACCTCACTTCCTTCAGGGCAACCACATAGAAATGGGAAACTATACAGCTCTCTACCCCTAAATAAGAGGGGAGAACCTTTCAAGGACATTGTGTCAGCTTGTAATTTTCTTTCCCCTATCAGCTTTTAAATGTGACAGCAAAACTGCAGCAGAATGCAGCGCATGCTGCCTTGCTTAAAGAGGCAAGATGATAATCACCTTATCAGAAAGTGACAGGAAAATGACTCTTGGCTCCCACATCATTTTGAACTTGGTGGGAGTCTGGACCTCCTAGCTGTTACCCATCTCTTGTACACAATATCTGCTACATCCCTGCTGAGTGCTATCCAGAATCTGTCCAGGTTATCTTTGCACCTAGACATACTTCACTGAGATCTTCTACAAGGCACWCTCTACCTCAGAACACTTTGTAGAATAGAATAAGAATTAACTCACAGAACTCTTTGCCATACAATGCTGTGAGTACTAAAGGTCTAAAAGCATTCAGGAAAAAAAAAATCCCTGCACATCTTAAATATACAAAGCYAAGAAAGTCCCTTATTTGCAAACATCTGCAGATAAGAGAGTATACAAGGGAAACTACATGCATTTTATATGATCTCCATCTGATCTCCATCATTTTTCATTACTCACTCATTCTGCCCCACCTTTCTGCCATTCAGTGATGGGCTGCAAGGAATTTTATGGGACCRCTGGAAGAAGGTTTCAACTTAACCCTTTTGTAAAGCCATGGGGCCATGCAAACAACATGCTGAAAAGGATCAGGACTCATTTACCAACAAGAACATTTCCTCACGTGCACATAGCCAAGGGCAGCAGTAACAGCAGTGCTGGCAGCCCGGGTTGTATTAAATCCTCTCACTGAAAATGTTAATACCCAATGATGCATAAACAGATATATATGGATCATTAAGTATACATACATATAAACACGTATATATTTATATACACACATGTGGATGTGTCTACATAAATATATATTTAACAGCAGAGACAAACTTAATGATCCCTATCTATATATGAGTGTCTGCACACACTCACATATAATGAGACGACTAAAATGACAGCAAAGCACTGCAGGGCTGTGAAGCAAAAAGGTTATTTCGGTTTATGTAGGTTTGGAGAGATGCTTAGCAGAGGAAAGGAAGTGGCAGGGATTATAATTAGGAGCCAGAGTTGGAAAAACASAAAGCCCTCTCTAGACCCACCAAAGCAACTTTTCTCCACATACCACTTGAGTGGTATGAACTAGCAACTCTGAAGAAAATATTGCCTTTGTTTGAAGAGCATAATCCACTAGAATAGGAACACAATTAGATCCCCTTTTCCAAGGCAGACACCTTAGGCAAGTGCCACGCTGTACCTATGGTCCGAAAATAAAGAAATGCTTGTATTGCTATGTCCAATCCAAAAGAAACTAACCCCATTAAAAGACRTATTGTTCTCCAGTCAGGGCAGCAGAGCAGAAGTTGGAAAACTGTTGTGCTCTAAAAGCCTTGTGCTTTCTAGGCATTCACTGGTTCCCCAAAGGGCATGCCTAGCCTAACATACTTACACATTTGAGTTATTTTCCTAAGGGACCCTTTGCTTCTAAAGCTGCTTTCTTACCATTCCCGAAAAACACTGAAATGTGTGTTTCATGTTCCGGTGAAAAATTTCTCGAAGCAAGWAAAGCTTTCACTTCTGGTACACATCTGCTGAAGTTCTGCAAAACTAAGGGGGCTGAACCAGCCATCTTGTCAGACAAGACGAGTGTCGAAACAACAGCAAAAGGAAGTGGAGATGATGATGATCAGCCAGGAATGAAGGAAAGGGGACCAGATTCTCCTCAACTCCAAATTACACCAGCTCAAACTGTCTTGTGATGGTACTACCTTGTGTGCCATAAAACTGCATCCACAGCAGAGCCCATTAAAGATGTTTTTAAGGAAAGTAGATTATTCTCTATAGATTACGCTATAGCCAAGCATAATCAGAGAATCATGGAATGGACCTCTGCAAGCCATCCTGCCCAAATCCTTAACAAAAGCATCTCTAAATTCAAATTAGACCAAGATACTTAGAATCACATAATGCACACACATACAAATCTACAAATTTTACCATACTGATATGAAATGATTAAGCAGTTAAGGACTGTCTTGGGACACACATACCTAGTCCAGCTCCCAAAACGTTCCTACCGTACAGGCAAACACTACAAATGCTCACATAATATGAGGCAGTATGAAAACATGTGCTAAAACTGCTGCTACTTCCAGAAGACCTACTCTGAGAAAGTACCACAAAATGAAGGCTGGGAATAATAGTCATTCTATTGATATAGTGACTTTAATAAAATCATATTATGATAATATTGTTAATAATGCAATATAATAATAATAGCTGGATTGTAATGACTATTTTAACACACTTTCCCCACAGGACAATATTTTTCGGAAGTAGTTGAACACAGACCACTTTGATGCAAATCAACAGCAAAAGGTTTTCTCTACCAGGAGCCAGCCAACAACACTAGGATGAATATTTCTCCACAACAAGAGGCACAACTCCTTAAAAGCCACTGGCTTCATCATTTTGACGGTACTTAAATATGAGAATAGACTTGGTTCCTCTGCCTCAGTCCTGCTTCTACCCACAGAGCTGCCAATGATCCTACCTTCAGCTAGAGGATGCTGATCCCACATCCGCTTGTAGCTCCCATTAGCTTCTTCAAACCACTGGGTTTTCTACCCACAAACACAAATTTCACATACCTCCAGCCACCAAATGTTATCCTGGCTCAGAGAATGACCCACAGCACTATGAAGGCATTAATTCCTCCTAAGTCTAACTACAAGCTCTTTTGCTGTTCATTTCCTTTTATACTGTGGATAAGAAGTTCTCTAAACATTTATGGCAAACAAGATGTGAAACATTCTTAAAGGGCTTTTACAGACACTTACAAAGAGTTTTAAAAGTTACTTACTAATGATGACAATAATAAAAATAAAGAAATAATAGTAAGAATGTCTGCAAAGATTCAAAAAAAAAAAAAGTCAGTTCTCAACAAAGTTGATGCACAGCACTCAGGAAGGCAACTTGCTTCCTACTTTCTTCATCAGAAGACTTTGGAGCTAAGTAATAATGATCTGAAATTTAACATGCATCTTTTAACTTAAAAGAAAAGGCCATTGATTTATCAAGTAAAGGGGTTTGATTTCATCTAGCTATGGATTCACCATTGCTAGATGAAACTGATTAGCTTCACTGATTTCAATGAAGGTGTCAATGTGCAGATTTCTATGAACTCAGAGCTCTGTGTGTGTGAACACAAATGTCTGTGTGTGTGTGTGTTGTTGGAAAGCAACAGATATTCAGCACYGTGACAAAGTCTGCCACGATGCTGCACTGCACACCACGAGGCTCACTATGCACTTGAGGATCTTCATGTGCCCTTTCCCCCAAAGCATTTAAAGAAAGTTAAAAGCTGCTGTACTTACGTCATTATCTGGGTCTCTATGCCAGGGTCCACAAGGGATCCATCCACAAAAAGTGGTGTTGATGTGAAGCTGTATTTACTCCAGGTTCTCCCCTCATCAAAACTCACCCTGGGATAGAAACAGACAAGATTTATACACATAAAAAGCCTTATTCTAGTGCAACTGCAGCAGTTAACTGCTGGCTAACGTTGGCAAGCTGGATTTATAGACAAGCACCAATGTTTGCTGTTTCCTAGTCCTCTAATTCACGTTCTTGGAGTACTTTTGAGAGTATAAACTATGTCAATAAGGACATGGATATACTTGTTCCAGTGGTATATCAGGCCTCAAGGGATCAAAGCACAATGCCAAGTTCTAATGCTGAATCTACAAGAGCACCTGGAATTAGGATGTGCTCACAGCATGCACAGTCTTGGTCTCAATGCACAAAAATGTTGTTACAGCCATGGGACATTTCACCCTATACCAGTGCTACATAGCATTAGCTACCGTTTCAGAGGTGGCCTCCATTTTACAAAAAAGGTATCCTCTGACCCTGGGTTTTTTACACAACTGATTCAGCACAATTTCTGCCCAGACTTTCAGCTCCTAGTTCTAGCTGCAAGCAGAAAACAAAGTAGTACAAGGGTTTATTTGCTCTACATTTATTTGATCCTCTCCCAGAAGAGCCATTTAAGCGTTCTCTTGTAATTCTAGGAGGTGCTTGGGCTGTGACAGCTGACACGATATGCTTGATGGACATTACCAAAGGGACAAATATGGCACAAACTTCTTCTCTGAAGAGTGGGAAATATCTCTCATTTTAAAGTGAGAATAAAATAAAACTTTGTCTTATTTTCCAGGGTAGGGGAATTCAGGAGGTGGTGTCTGCGTGTATGTACATGAAAGGACAGGATCATGTTTGAAACTCTTCTTCTAACAAGGGCAATTCAGCTCCTCATTTTAAGCTCACGTATTTCCAGAAGAGATACTCATTTGGTCAGGGTATCCTTCCCAGGGTTCCCTTAATCTCTCTCTATTTAATTCAGCTTCCACAGAACTATATCCCAAGAGTCTGAAAGAACAGTTTGTTCACAAGATCCTCAGTTGCAGTTCACAGTCACTAGGAATGGACAAGCTGAATTTGTGGCTAGCAAGAGCAGAGAATGCCCATGCTCCCGACGTATTTACTGCCCAGTGAAAGTTGGCATCCCTGTGCTGTGAACATGCAAGAATTATCTACTTCATCCTCAAGACATGATGACCATCACAGACATTTTGGGAAGGTCAATAAATTTCAGAAAGACTCACTCTGCTTAAATCCTTCAATAAATCAATAAATCCTTTCCTCTTCCCTGTTCTCCGCTTCACTGACAAGAAGAGAAAGCAGAGGCCATAGCTATTCTTACAGCATAGGGCAAATTAAGGACGCTAACACTGAGGAGCTGGATTTGTCTGAGAGGGTCCTGCCAGAAACTGAATCCTCCCAACGTTGACTAGGCAGCATGAGGAGCCTCTCAGATGTTACCTAAGGACAAAGATGCCAGGTTAAGTTCTGTTATAAACTATGGGTTATACTAATCCAGAGTTTCTAATACAGAAATCCAAGGCGCAGAGACACTGTTCCCTAAACACCTGCCTCTAGTAGCACCTAGCAAAAGTTATCACCTGACAGTGTTCATCTGCCAAGAGAGGAAGCTGACTATACATCCAAGACAAAAAGATGGGGGAGAAATAGCATACAAAAAGCTTATCCCTCCCAGATCTATTTATTTAAATGTATGTATCTTCCCATACACCTGTGCATTAGTATGCTGTTCTGCCTTCATGCTTATCTATCTAAATAGTATTTCAATTTCTGGGGAACAGTACGCTTCATTAGTTTAACTAAAGTTCTCTCAGCTTTTCAATTATCCACCCCCTTTTTTTTTTTTCTCTCTAGGATGAAACTTATTGTACAATGTCTCTGCCTGAGAACTAATAGATATACATGTACCCTTTAATCTATTCTGCTCCTGTCCATAAAACAGGTGCCTACTGAGGCAACGTGAAGCAAATTCCAAAAACCCTAAGGGCACAGTTTTGGAGGAAACCTGATGGAATTTATTCATAGTAGCTCCAAATCACTTCTCACTTAATACAGTGGGCTGGACATTCATAGTACCACTGCACATGCCATTTCATGAGGCTTTGAGGAAAGGGAAAACATCTGACAGTAACCTTTCCAAGGCAGGCACAGGGGAGCTGTATATTCAGCTCCCAGAGACATTTGGGCTGTTACCAAAATCTCCTGACATCTAAGCACAGGCATTTGTATGTAGGTGGTTTTGCAGGCCAAAGGAGCCTCCACAGGGAAAGACTAAATTAAACTGGACAGTGACACTTGTATAGAGGACATTCTTGTAAACAGTTAATACACAACTGATGGTTCTTTCACTCTTCCACAGCTCAGCTGGCAACAGCCTGGAGCACCAACTACTGGTGGTGACTTCTGTACTGGCTAACAGACACCCCTCCTTCCTTGGCATATATTTGGTTTGGTTTAAGGACTTTGATACGGTCCTCTTGCTGTCTTCTTTCCTGGGGGTACGACAGCTACAGCCATGACTACTGAGTTACCTAGGACAGCAAATACTTCTAGTTACATGATAGATGTTCTAAGCACTGACAGCAAGATCATGAGACATGTAATACAGAAGAAGCATGATTATGGGGCRTGTATACTGTTGGTAAGATGATGCTGCCTACTCTGACCTCTGGGTCTGGCTCGGTATGCCCATTCACACATTATGATTGTAACAAGCTTGCTTATGATATCACCAAATCATCTGTTTCCTGAACATCTGAAAGGAATGTAAAGATTGTCACTCGTACTTTACATGTAATGTCCTGCTGGTGAATCTGTATGGATGAAGTAGCAAAGAAAACTGCATCTCACGGAAAATACTTTGTCTGTTGAATCATCCTATTCCTTGCCCTAAGATCCTTGAAAAACTACATAGCCTTAAGGACATGAGCCAAACATATCCTGTGGATAAAAATCTCCTCTATGGTAAAGTTAAAGAAGTCATTTCTTCAGCTCAGGTGTTAAAATATATGAAATTGAATCTAACATATTCAACCTTTAGTAGCTACATATGGCCTGGACATTCCAGACTTATTTGTCAGGTCAGGAACACAAAGTCCAGAAAGGTTTCATATTGAAAAAGTAACCATTTATGATATTAAGGTACATCTGTGGAACATTAGGTTGTGATGGACAAGGACTTAGCCTCAGTAAAGASGGCCCCAGCTTCTGAATGACTTTAATTTAACTGAAAGAGTTTGTACAATAATGATTCAGGTAGAAGAGACCTTAACACCTCATCACTGCTGCCAAATAGCCCTGCTTTCCTTTTTCTATTTTACTGAAGGCCACATTTCCTCTTCTGCATGAGCTGCGTGAGATAGACATGTGCTTAGCACCATCCAGATGAGAGAAAATTCACTTTGCAGAAAGGAATACGAAACTTTGCTTTGAAGGCTGTTTCTATTTAATTCACTTCTGAACAGCATTAGAARCTGGGTAGGTCAATTCATTAGCCTGCCCCTTTTTCACTCAAGACCAGAAACTGAACGTGATGCTAATACATACATTTTCTGTAAACAGCAAGGTTAGTGCTAAATTTCAGAATGCYTCTCTCTAAGGTTTAGCTGGGGCAGGAGTGAGAGAGGTAAAGGCTAAGAGGAAAAGAGAGGGTAAGTTTGAGCCATATCTTCAGTGCTTAGGTGGTTCGGACACACATATAATGAAAACAGTATCCTCAACTGAGAAATCACCTTGCCCCCATGCACCCCTGAACCATACTCAGTGAACACCACTGCGTGGAGAAACCCACAGTGAAATCCTACAGGAAGCAGTGGCACTAGCCATCATCTCTACTGTTCTTATCAACATCTACTGCCTTGGCCTCTCTCCTTCTCTTACTAAATTGCGCAACCTAAAAAGCAAAAATAAGGAGACACATCCCCACTAGAAATACTTGGAGCACAAAAGGTTACTTCTGACTGAGTATATATGTATCTGTTAGCAGGAAGAAATTTTGCATGAGGTCTCCTAGTACATTATTAGAGCAAAGAGTAATTCATGAAGATGTRTGAATATGTATACAGCTGTTATATGGATACAGTCAATGTAATCAATGTATATTTATACAAACAATTGTAATATGTTAATTATAACCATGTGCCAATTATAATCATATTAATAATATAKATTTTATTATAAAATATATATTGACATATACAGTTATCATTTAATGAATTACCAAAAAGAAAAAAAAAAGCTGGTAGAAGATAGATAAAAATTACTTCATTTGCCCATTTTGTAGAAACAAGAAGATGTTGAGCAGGAGATGCAAGAGATATTATCAACACTGCCAACTTACCACATTAGAAAACTTGTCAAAGTAAAAAGTCTCCTTACCACAAGTGCCGAACGGGCATTGACGTGTGTTTCATGGCCACAAGTGCTCCTCCCCAGTCCAGAAACCACACATTGTATTCCTCCTCGAAGATCTGCAAACCAAGCAGGTACTGCATGAGTGCCCCACACCAGTGGAAACAGAAGACTCAGAAGGTGACTAGCAAAAGGTTCCATGATTTCCTTCCCTCTGCAAAACATACCTGTCTCCAGGAATTTCCACCATCGGAAGAGATGAATACACCAATGTCAGTGTAAGAAAGCTCAGAGCCAATGTTGCCTGCAACACAAAGAAGTATCAGAAGTTACTGTGTAGAAGGACACAGAACTACAGAACTTTTTCAGGAAACCAAAAATACTTCATTTGGCCAGCACTACTTTGCTGTTCTTCATTTTATTCTCATCTGAAAGCTCTTGAACACCATTTACAAGAGCTGTGCAAATGTGAAACTGCTATCAAACTGAAAACTAACACCAGAAGGAAATGGAATTATCAGCTTACTTCCCCAGCGGAGAGGAGAACACCTGTAGGAAAGCTGAACTGACCCAAGTCAGGTATTCAGTAGAATTTAAAGGTGAAATCCCAGTCCCATGGAAGTCCCTGAATTTGATGGGACTAGAAAGTCAACTCAGGATTCTGTCAAAATGTTCAGTGTAAAATATAACTGATCTCAGAACTGCAGTCAAGCAAAATACATTTCTTCCCAAGACTATCAATGGTTTGCAATGAAGACCTATTAATAAGAATTGTGATGTAATTAAATATTAGCTCCTGCTAAAGGGAACCTTGTTTGTTTAGCTGCCTCACCTGGAGGCATAAAGAGAGCAGAGAATTAAGCTGCACCAAATGACTTCTCAGCAGAGACGGAGACCAGGCTGAGCTGCATTTTAAACACTGTTGATTGTTTTCCTTGACCTGAAGTTAGCTTAAACTAAGTCCAACCTTACTGGCTGACTCTGTAGGGTTCTTCATTTTAATCTCGTTGTTTCCATTCTGGTGGAAACCATTCTGCTGACAGTCCTGTAGCATGAGCAACTCTGCATTCATCATGTCTTAGAGAATGAGCAGCACTCTGAAAAGTTCAGACATCAATCTAGACTGCACATAAAGAGAGCACAGTACAATACTACTTGGGGACACTATCTCAGAACTTGAAATTAGTATTTTTTTTTTCCAGAATCCCTTTTCTCAGATGGCAGAGAGAGACTCAACTCCTGGCATTATGCAGAGTAAATTACAGACTTGGATTAAATTGCCATTCCCTGGAACAACAGTTGCAATAGTGAGGTCCAATAAGCAAAAAAACTCATATACACTCTGAATAAAACTTTTTTGCACATTYCCAGTACTGAACTGAGGTCAGCATCTTGCTGTTCTAACGACTTCTAGGTGAGATTGTTTTCAAAGTAGATGCTATTTCTGTGGAAGGCAGAACTAATATTTCTTCTTTAAAAACAGCAAAGAGAGAATTCAGTCTTACACATCTGTAGCATCAGCAGGAGCACAATAAAAACACACTAATGAGAATGCTAATTGATTTCTGACATTTAATGCTGGAAAATGAGAAATTAAAAACCAGATACAGGTTGATGCACTCCTGTCAGCGTCATGGAATCCAACTAGTCACATTGTTGTGACAATAGTTTCTAAAATAAAACCTCTAGCTCAGGATTGCAAGACAATTCAGAAAAGGTTTTTCCATCAGCGCTCCAGATAATGGAAACACCACACAGACCAGTTACCTAATCTTCCCTTGATACCAATCAAGAGTGACTAGCTGCTTTAGACGAAAGTACAAGAAAATCCTGCAGTGGGCAATTTTATAAAACAACAGTCTACAGGAATGTTCAGGCCCTATTGGTTCATGAGAATGGATCTGCTGTTTCAGGCCAAAGGCCTGTCTAGCTTGTATTATGTATGGAAGTCCTAAAGAATTAGATGTTGACTTAAACACAGAAGCGTAAGCTGTGTGCCATTGTTCTCCAAATATTAAAACAACAACCAGTTTTACAATCAGGGATTCACAGATTGTGGCAAAGAAAGGAAATAAAATGATTMGATTCTATTGCTACCAATTCTATCTGACTGTTACTCTCTTTAATCTGGCTCCATGATTTTTTTCATTCTTTCTATGTACCTTCATTAAGTTACGTGGATTCAACTCCCACCAAAGGCAACTAATTCCCAAACAGATCAAGAGGATTTTTATCAGTCTTTGCCACTGGCAGCTCTTCAAGTGGATACCAAGAAACAGATCTTTCCTTTTCCAAGAGTCTCACCTCTGCCTTCAGAGCAAGAGGCTGAATTTCCCATCATTATTGGAATGCACCACTGGGAACCACAGAGTAAGACATCTATCAGTGGAGGGTTTGAACAAGTCAGTCCTTGTGAGAATAAGTTGCAATGCTTGCCCTTGAACACGTTTGCCAATGTGATGAGACATTGCCACTGTTGAAAACTGCTTAGTGGAAATGGAAGTGTATATTCCCATCAGGTTAAGCTTTCTGTTGTACAAGGCTAAACTAATATTCTGCCCTTAAAGGTTAATTGTTAGACTGGGAAAGTGCTCATCCCATGCACTAGTAGCCTGAAAAGAAGCTCAATAACTAACCATTTAGATCATTGCTTTGAAACTGTCCTGCTGCCTTCTATTCGCCCCCTCAAAGGTTAAAGAATAAATGCCTCTGCAATCACAACATCATGAGCCCAGCTTCTTCCTATCCATCTATCTAGSAAGTGTAACCTGTCAGGAGTGTTACTGCACTCGGCTAGGCATGAGAAGATCTGGAGGTTTAAACCGAAGTATCTCATCTTGTTTGGTCTTGATTAATCAACTGGAAAACACACTTTTCCTTTGTTGAGCTATACATGACAGGAACCTGGTTTCTCAGGTTCTGGTTTACTCTAGCAAACATACTGCAAATACAGAGAAACATAAGAACAGAAATAGCTGGAAGAAGTAGCCTATATTTATACAGGCAACATGACACAACYGCAAGCCATTGCTAGACTGAACAGGACAAAGAAGAAAACCTGCAGGAGAGAATTAGAGATAAACCAAGCCTTGGAAAGAACAGGCAAACTCTTGGAATATATTTTTACAACACTTACTTTGGGTTTTTATTCAATTATCTGAGTAAGTCCTAACTTTACTTCACAGGCAAGCAAGACTCAGCAGATGTACATGTTCCTCTGCAGAATGCAGCAATGCAAGAGACTCCCTGTGAAAAGGCAGGGCAGGAAACTTACCCAAAATGCCTGTTTTGCATAGCACCAGTCATTCAGTAAGTGCTTTATTATCCCAGTAGCTCCCACAGTCCTAAGCACTGTGGGAGCTCTGAGTGCAGTTGGGAAGCTCAGTCCATCCTGATTAGGATATATTTGCTTTGCTATAAGCAAGCAAAAGGGAACAAAAAGGGCCTGTGATGGTTGTCAGATTAACTACAGTGGGTCAGCCATTGCCACTATGCAGCACTGTAGCAGGCTGTCATTAAAACATCTCAACCTGCCAAAACACCGTTTCACAGTATAACTAACAGCAAGAGTGACCCACATAATGCTGAGGAAGTATTGCCAGCCTTGGAGCAACATGGCATAGAAAGGAGGTGTCATGCACGAGACAAGAATGCATGAAGACTGTGCTTGACCAGAAGGCATTTGTGACAACTCCCTGCTTAATCCCCAAAAGTACTGATACTTTCTGGAAGTGCACCCATGGTTATAAGTCCTCTTCTTATTGATGACAACTCTAGTCAATGGGTAGACTTACATGAGTGGTTAAAATGATGCCCATGAGAAGAAATAGTAATTTCAGTTAGTAACATTCCCATGCTGTGGGACTGTGGACTTGCTAAGCTGTGGACTTGCTAAGCTGTGGACTTAGACTTGCATATAAGTTAGTGCAGTGTAACAAATAACAGACAGGTATCATTTTATTTGAAAAAAGGGGTCACATTCCTTCTCACAAACATTGGCAAATGGGAGTTAATGTAAATTAGCAGGTGAAGAACATCTCATTTACATTTTCAGGCTCCCAGTGCAACCTGGGTGAGTGATAAGAAGCACTGTTTATGTTCTTACCTGTTGCCACCAGCAGCCCGGGAGCTGTCTGCTTGCTGGAAATGCTTCCTGAAGTATATGGATTCTCTGAGAGTTGCAGATGCAAATGCAAGGAACAAAAGGGCTGTTGACAGGAAACAAACAAAAGGTAAAAGCTTTAATATGCAACAAGTCAAATATCAGAGGAACCCTTGGTGACTGCTGACAGATGCTCAGATCCTCTGAAAATGACCTCTTTGCTCTTAGCTTTGTTATTAATAGCAGCACATGTTCATTTTCTGTATAAGCAGCTCAAAAGTAACTGAAAGAGAAGCAGGAATGCTGCATTGCAAAGGAGGTGCCTCCATTTGTGTTTACAAACAATCCAATCTAGAGCCACTTTTTCCTAGATATCTTCCTACTTTGACTTAAGATCCATAAAAACATCAAGTAAGTGGGTCAGAATTTTCTCTTTTGTCTTACAAGCCACGAAGTTTCAGAAAAATAAACCCAATTAACRCACCAAGCAGGTTAGGAAAAAAACACAAGAGGAGAACCAATGGAACTCCAGAGCAACACCATTCCTTTGAAACACAGGCTAGGGCCTCCTATAAAGAAAAACAAACAATCTACCAAAACAAAACCACCAACCAAACAACAACAACAACAAACTGTTCACGGAACATAGTTGAATCCTGGCAGTGAACCCAACCTGAAGTTCTCATCCATAAACTGTGCCTTATTTTGGACCAACTAACTCTGCAGCTCTCTTATTGGCATGAATTCCTCCTCCTCTGCAGCTTCATTTTCAATTTTGCTAGGCCAATGATTAATACAAGAAACTGTGGARGAGTCAGTTGTGCTTTGGAAAGTTTTTCCACTCACCAGCTGGCAAACTACAGGATCTCCTCTTAGATTGGTGTCTGGTGCCTGCAGCAAACGCCAATCTCTGCCTTTGTTGTACGTAATGAAAGTCTTGATTTGGTCATCTACCTTCCTGTTAGCCAGGAATATGCCTTTGATCCCTGCTACCTAGGAAAAATGGAGACAGATTAAAAAAAGCATCGGGAGAACAGGCCAGAAACACCATTCCGAGGACTCTCCAGAGTGGAAGATCTCTGAAAAAGCAATAAATTAATCTCAATCCAGCCCTAGAAGACTCTGAATGGCAGTTGCAATTACATCCAGATGTTGTCTGCACAGCTGGCAGGGCCTGTTGCAGTTTCTCTCTATCTCTGGAAGGCAAAGATAAGTATTTTCATAGGGCAAATCCCTAGCCGACAGCCCAGGTCTCCTAGGTTTCCCCAAGTGTTTACACTACCCAGGCTTACAATGGGCTTGAACACACACACCATGGCACACAGTGGCTCTGTTGGCCTAGGAATGAGATCTTTCCCATTCCTTTTCCATGTTTCCATAACAAGGGAGACCGTAGGCCACATCAGAAGCAGCAGGTACAGTTGGGTCAAGTGGCAAAGGAAAGGGAGGGAGGACTCCTGAGAGGAGACAAACGGGTCAGTCATTTGAGTACATCCACAGAACGGGCCTCTGAACTCCTGTCAGGCAACATGTTCCCAGCTGCAGCACCAGTTGGCCAGCAAGAGGGGTTTTTATGGTCTTTCTCTCATTTACACACACACACAAGGAAATATTTCATTCTAAATATGCTTAAACATGATTTTTTTTGGTGAATTTTATTTCTTCACTTTCCTTCCACTCCCAAATTCTGTCAAAAATCAACCCAGTTGTTCCAAATGTTTTGATCTTTGTCAGCAGAAGCCATTCCAACAGAATATGGTCCTGTCAAAATGTCCCCAAGTAGATCTAGCATTGAGTCAGCTCTCTGTTGCATAGCTGTGAAAGTGAGACTGGAAGAAACAACTTGCTGCAAACCTGGAACTTCCTGGGAACAGCAGGATTACGATGCAAATGCTTCTGCTCTAAAACCTCTTGTGCAAGACTACACTTTGAATGATCCTGTGAAAACCTCTCTTGGCTTATCAGTGAAGTGTCTATGATACCCAGCTGGAGACTACAGACTGCCCAGCAATGGGAGATAATGCAGGTTTATTTCAGCTGGTTCATTGCAATATAGACTTTTTTTTTTTTTTTTTTTCTCTCAGAGGCAGGAAAACATATTCAAATGGGGAAAAATAAAATAAAAAGACTGTCCTCAATTTTGACTCATTCGATTCTGTGAGTTTTCTCTCCTTGCCTTAAATTACCAGGATGACCTGCCGGCCTTCTTCGTCTCAGAGCAGCAAAACCATTTGCTTCTCCAGAGGCTTAGAGATGCCCAAGCTTATGGAGCAAGACTGCATTGCAGAGTAATGTACATGTGTTTTCCATTTCTCTATACAATACATAGGAGATACCCTAAAGAAGGGCTAACAAAAGCCTCCCTGACAAGATCTACATAAACTCCTAGCCTATTTTGATTCAGGAAAATCAACTTGGACATCCGTATTAGGTGTCAGAATCCAGGCAGATGGAAAGTTGTTTCAGTTTGCTACTTTCATGTGCCAATCTGGGCATTTTTATTAGGGAAGAAGGCAGCTGCAAACTATTCACAGCAAGGCAAGGCTGTTTTAAGAGAGTTAGTAGTCTGGCAGGAGAATGAGAACAGGAGATGATTCAAGATAGAAGTTATACCACTATTACCACTAGGCAAATGGCACCTATAAACTTTTGCTTATAGTTCATAAACTGCTCAATGATCACAAAGGTAGAATCCAAATTCACTGTCTTTACTGTCTACAATGCCTGTGAGCAAATATTCCTAGCTGTCCAAGAGAAGAAACCAGTATTTCAGATCTTCTCTAGGCATCCACATTAGCATGAAAGGTTTCCCCCTTTTGGAGTTCATGATATCTCTTTCATGGGATTATCTATGCAACTGTTAGTCTTATGTCACCTTTTAGACCCTAGGAGAGCAAATGCAAAAATTCTATCACTCTGATCTATTTTAGTTTTAAGCTCTTCTGGCACTAACGTTAAGTGTTGACGAAAGGTGTAGGGAACAAAACTCTGAAGACAACAACAGGTAATAAAACATCATAGAGGGCTGAGATGTCACATAGCCTCACCAGGAGCTGACTTGAAAGCAACAGGTTGTCACACCAATCAGAACTGCACTGCAGAAGGCACTGCATCTGTATGCATCTATCCCCACATGAACTGGCTCAGAATCAAATCCAATAAATTGGATTTAAAATTGGATTTATAAAATTTAAATTGGATTTATAAAATCAAATCCCTGGATGCCTCAGGGAGCAATGCCATTTTGGTGCCTGCATAACTGCCTCTCTGGAGATCATAGCTTTGTCTGAGATGACCCCCAAAAAATGAAGATTCTGGAAGGAGGGAAGAGATTTACACTTGTCTGAACTACCAAGCAGTTGCTGTTCTTGTAGACTGACCTTTACTACATACCTCATAAAGGTCAATGATGATATTTCCCTCCAGTCCTCTACTGCTTTTCACATTTTCCAAGGCCAGAGTGAAGTACACTCCTCGGGTGTCAGAGATGTACAGATTGTAGGTATCATTCTGGTTCCACTCCTGAACAGCTGCAAACACCTGATTCTCATCTGTACTGATAATATGCATGTCCTGTTAAGAGAAGACAAAAGCCCTATTACTAAGGATCTCTATATTTCTTTGCCCTTTGGGACCTGTAGTAATTACAATGACTTATGAAAGGATGGCAATGAAGCATGAATTATAGGTGATCTTAAATAATTTTCTGTTAAAGCAAGCCAATAAATTCCCACTATTGTGACTTTTCTGCATTTCTTTCTTTTTTTTTCTTTTCTTTTTTTTTTTTTTAATGGTCACCATCCTCATTTTTGGTAGCTTGAAGGAATTTCATTCAGCTGCATTTTTTATTTATAAATTTTAAAGTCAATTTTATCACTCCTGCAAGATTCACAACCCTGGAGGGTACAGTTCTCCAGTAGTCACTAAGTTTCTATATGTGGGAGCATTAGCCTTTATAGTCTCTGCTCCTTTCATTGGTTAGAAACCTCAGCAGTGCTCAGCATCCCAAGCCTTCTCCTGGACCCCAGTGCTATGGCCAGGCTTAACAGCAAAATCATTTCTAGAGAACAGACCAGGACCAAGAGTGACATGTTCACAGGCAACCACTTGAGAATACGTTAGATCTATTTGTGGAGGCATCTTTTCAGTCCCAACATTCTTYGAAGGATTGCAGGTAAATAAAGGAATAGCTCTTTCTGAAAATTCCACTCATCAAAGGAAGGGAGATTTAAAAAATCTCAGTCCCATATTTAAGAAAGAGCTTTCAGTTAGCACAAAAACGGAGCTTCCCAGAGAGGAACCCCACTGAGGCACTTCACTGTTGGACAGGCGGTGCTGTCCAACATGTTGCATGCCTCTGTTCAAAAATGGTGCACTCACCTTAGGAAGAGAATATTTGGGCAATTTAATCTGGGCAAAAGGCTCCCGTCTGTATGACACGTAGTAATTTGCTCTTCCACCAGCTGTCACCTGCAAAACACCAAAAAGAGTGAGTGATGACCTTTCTGAGGCACCTATGCTGACATCTCTAAGAGGATTTGACAGCAATCYTTTCAGTCTTCCCTGTGACCCAAACAGATGTCTCTGAAAGCATCTATATAACTCCATCAAAGAAACCCCAGGATTGGGATAGGGATGGAGCTTTATTTACATAAACTGTGCTACTGTATTTTCCAACTCGTCTCTCCAATCTATTTTAATTCAAACATGACTTTAAAATCAGGTATTTCAAGAAAAAGGGAGAAGTAGCTCTAAAGTTTAAGGTCTTGAGCGGGAGAAAGAATGGTTTGGGTTCAGCCCACAGTTCCAGCACAAACTACCTTAAGCAAGTGAGTTGAATTCTGTGTGCTTTTGTTCCTCTTCTGAAAGGAGAGAATAGCTCTTTTCTCTGCTGCTTCTCAACCTTTTTTGTTTTCACTGTAAAATTCTTGGGTCAGGATTGTTTTCCAGCATTTTTTTTTAAATAAGTAACAGAATAGATCCAACTAGCATTATTTAATGCAAACAGAAAGAGCAGGAAACACAGCCTTGGAAAGCTGAAGATAGGCTCTTAGACATTCTATGTCTCCAAAAGACTCATCACTTTGAAAACGTATTTTCTCTGAATTAGGGTGTAGGGGCAAAGGACAGACATCRAATCAGGTGGTTTTATGGGCTACCTGAACATGAATTTTCAAGGTTATGTTTAAATGCTACATACCATTGAGAAGCTGAGATTTTCAGCTTTCCAGTGATTTGCAACACTTATTTCTAGCACTGATAATTTATAAGATAGGGCATTTTAAACTTGTCACTAGTGCCATACTCTTCCAGTGGGTGTTCTTGTTGGCACCGTTTTAGGCTTGACTAGCAGGCTTACAACAGTGAATTTCCTGTTTTCTGCTGCTTTGGCAAGTTTGCAGGTTTTGAGATAAAACAAAGCCCTTCTCTGTTATATGAATTGTCATTTGTTGGCTTCCCACATTTCCACTAAAGTGAACAGAAAGATCCTAGATTGTCTCTTGGATATATTTCCCTTTGTCTGACAAAGTGGTATTTCAGGGTGAGCTTACATGGAAAATAGTTATGGCATCAATTACGTATTCAGTAATGATATCACCTCTAGATAGTGGCATTCTTCTCTACAGAAGCTGTCACTTGAAGGACATAATATTACTGGTCATGAAATTTGATATCTAATCAACTCAAGATAAGGCTTTTTCCATTGACARCTTGAAGAACTGGAAAGAAAGACAGAAAGGCCTGGAAATAGGTGCATTCCATACTGAGATAAAACTCTTTACAGACAGCACAGAGCTAATGTCAAGGGGAAACACCAGCACAAAGATCAAAAGCAACTTGCCTGGAATGTCAGAACAGGCTARTGGCAACAACAGAAGAGGAGAGGGGTCACTAGACCATCACTCCATGTTAAGCACACTGAGAACTGCCATAGTAGGACTTGAGGGCTCTGCTGTCCAGCAGTGATGTTGCAAAYGCTGTGAGAATTATTTCACAAGGCTACCTGCCATCTAGCATTATCACATCAAAACTAGGTTTTCAGAGGACAGAAGAGACTAAGCAGACGATCCACATTCCGTCTAGCTCAAAAGCAAAATTTCTTGTTTGCAGTAATTGTACAATTGCATCCTATTAGCCTTGCAAACTTTGTCCAAAGGAACCCATACTTCTAGGTCACACCATCTAAATAGTGCAGAATATATTCAAATATCCCCTATTTTTTTGGTGATATTTTTGTCCTTTCATGTAAGAGCCAAATCCTCAAATAATATATATCAGCATAACTGCCATATGAAATAATTTCATGCCAGCTCATGATTTAAACACTGGCTCATTATTTGTATTGAAAGGTCTGGATTCAACATCCACCTCTTCTGAAGGGCTGAGATATGGTCATTGACTCTCCTTTCAGATTCAGATATGAATATTTACTTCCTCCTCAGGGATGCTGTGATGATTAATTAACACAGAGAAGAGTCAACAATCTTAAAAGTTACTCCCATGAAAATGGAAGCAATTTCAAGAGGTGATCAAATCCCTGTTCTGTGCCAAGACAGGATCTACATCAAGCCTGACACTGACAAAAGATGTTACCTAGTTATAAGACAACTTAGGTTGTACAAACTGTATTTTTTTTTAAGAGGCAGCAAGGTAGAGTTTGAACACTGTCCAAGGTCACTAGGCATTAGCAAAACCCTCTTCCAATCTTCTACCTGGCACTAAGTTGCTTTGACAAATGTCTAGATACAGGAACCTTTGTGGTCTGTCATCTTTCTGAGCCGGTTACATGAATCCACCCACATTCTGTTGGCAGCAGTTGATGAAGCTCATCTCAGCCAGGGCCTCATCTTTGCATGATTTAGATCCATGCTTATAGCAGTTACAGAAAATGATCAAGCCTTCAATACAACTTTGGCAAGTACTGTGCTAGAGAGTGAATTTTGGAAGATGCAGCTTAATTTATTTTGATGAACTTTTCCTATGCGCAAACTCTCCAACATTGTAAATCCCAGAGATCATGATAGCATTTTCCCCTCTAATGCCGCCTTTTAATTCACATTTGATGAATGTCACCCAATTATTTGCTGTGAGCTCATCTGYCATGTCCAGTACAGAATTAGCTGGGTTTTTCTCTTCCTCCTTCTTTACTAATGAGTGGTTCGTTAATCTGTTTTTCTAGATTTCTATTTTATTTTTATGTGTTTAATTGGGCAGCTGCCCAGTGGACATGATTCCTTTGGACAAATGTGTTTCTTGTTAAACACCTGTCTTTCCTAACTTGTGTTCTTTCTTYCTCCCTCCCCACATGACCTACCAGTCTTCTTTAATGTACTCACATTTTGTTTCAAAAGGAAGTTTGGTCTCAGCTACATCAGTTGACCCTTGAGAAGAGAAACTTCAGAAGTTTCTCTTTGGCCTCAATTGCCAGTATGCTGACCCATCATCCATCCTACAAAGGGGTGGAGTTCACCACACATGGAAGATAATAGAAAGATATTCTCAAGGGCGTAGAGAATTACAGAAAATCTACGGGTAGAATCAATTAATTTCCATAATCTCTGTGATGTACCTAGAAACACTCTAAGCCATTTCTCAGATTAATGATTTGATTCTTTAAGGAWTTTTTTTTCTTCTTTTGGCTTAGCCAGAAGACATTTTCTTAATCAAAAAGAATCAGACTGGTCACMTGAAAGAATKTGGAAAGCCAGCAGAAAGAGATACACATTTCAGGCTCCAGAACATAAAGCTCCACAATAGTCCGAGATATCCAAAATAACTTCAGGAACTGCAGATCATTATGTGACATGGTTTATTCTCATCCCTCTGACCAGTTAATGCTGGGAGACTTGCAGTTTTCATCCACAAGCCAGGCATTGCTGTAAAGCCAACACAGAACTACTAGATCTTTCCACTAACCTTGGGCTGAGTTAGACCCCTCCTGTTTCCTCCTGCTCAAAGGACTCACAGAAAGGCTAAAAGAACAGGCACTGCTGCTGACAAGRAAACAACATCAGTCATCAAATAGARCCTTGTTGAAAAAGCAGTGGCAGTCTTTGCCTAGTGGACACTTCCTAGGTTAATGGCTAAGAGATCAGAGGGCTATTTTKCTATGCAGTTTATCAGCCTGGGCTATTTTCYACAATAATGATGRTCACTTCCACAGTTATTCAAACAGGTCATCTACTTTTTACATTCATGATATGTTCTAAGCAAAAGAGAAATGATAATAGCTCAATGGCTCAATCTACAGYGATCAGATTTATTTAAAGGTTTGGAATGCCTATTTCCTTCCGATGTACATCCCACTTTAAGCCTAAGTCAAGGAGCACTTAGTCCATTACAGAAACAAATTTTAAATTTCCTGGTTGACAGTTAATCATTGGCCATTATTTACAATAAATAATACTCCCTCCCTCATCTTTTGCTCAGATTATTTCCTTCGCTTGCACAGTTATCCCCTTCCTAGTAATAGCAAATGGGTTAACAGACGTGAAAAGCTGAGAAACATTAGTATTAGTCTTGCAATGTCCTGCTGAATCTGTGTTTTCTATCCAACAGGTGTCTGGGAATCCTTGCTCACTGCTTTAGCCATAGTTATCTCTCATCCTTCCCATGAGCATAAAATTTCCTAAGTCAAACTGTGCAGTAAAGCACAGTGTGGAGTTAGGCAGACTATGCACACACCTCTAGTGAAGGATTTCTGTGCACTTTAGAGCCAGCTACTCCCTGGGCATCACACAGGTCTGCCAGGGTGACGCCCACAAAGTTGTGCCCCCATCCTTCTTCTGTCCATGAAGCCTAAGTCTAACTCACAAGGCAGTCAGCAGACAGGATCAGCTGGGCTGAGGAGACTACATCTGCACCAATCTAGTGCAATGCTTTTCCCCACAGCCAGGATGAACCATCTTCTACATATTCCTGGGTTCTGAGGTCCTCCATGGCCAATGAATCACTTCATGATAGCTGCAATGTAGCCCTAATCATTTCCCTGTGGTTTTCATGACTATCACGCCTTTTGCACAGTCCTTAATGCAGCACACGATTATCCGGAGCGAGCAGATATGCCTCCTTCTGTGCTGCAGAAATAGATGCAGATTAACACATCCTCAAGTGGCCTGATAAATTAATCAGGTCTGAAAGCACACCACATTTCAGAGGGACAGACCTATCAATGAAAACTTGCTAAGACTAAGCATCATTTAAGAGCATTTATTATACCAGTCTCCAATTCCCTTTCCCCTCCCCTCATAGCTATGACAGCCCAGCTAAGGGATAGATGATCCTGAGAGAAAACACTGATTTGGCTTTAACAGCAACTCCTGCAGCAAACGTGGACAGCTACATGAAAACACAAGCAATGGTACAGCTGCCAGTGTGCGCTATCCACATGAAAACCAACTTAAGAGAGGCACATAATTGCACAAATTAAATTTTCTTCAGAGAAAACATATTAGCCTGCCAAGGTGATC